TCATAAAGGGAGGGACATGGTCAGCAATAGTACTCAGGTAGGCTGAGCATTACACCACCAGCGGCCTACACCGTTGATACAAGGCAGGATGGATCAATGCTTTCATGTAGTTCATGCCAAATTCTGACCCAACCATCTGAATATCGCAGCAGAAATTGACACTCATCAGACCAGGCAACCTTTTTCCAATCTTATATTGTCCAATTTAGGTGAGTCTTTGTGACTTGTAGTCCCATCTTCTTCAATGTTCGACATTGTCTATGTTTCCATCCACCTATTTTTATGCGCATTTTGGAATATCGCATAAAAAAACGCTGGATGGAAACGCCAATATGCGCGTAAATTCTAAAAATGTGCGAAAAAAACATTGTGCGCACAATTGAGTAGGATAAAATTTCTATCCAATAAGAAAAACCGTGCATAACCTACAAAGGAAACACATTTACCGAATAAATTTCACCATGCGCATCAAAAAAGTAATGTGTCTTTGCACGATGGGATGGGATAACTTGACTAACCAGCGGACTGATCTTGTTGCACAGCATCTGAAATGTTGTTTTAGTCGTTCTGAAATGCCTGAGCAAAGTCTGTCATCAAAGTATTTCTGTATAATTAATTATCCCTGCGTTCCCAAACAGCAGTTTCCGTCTCCGAAAGCAATGACAGCATTTATTGTGTTTCGTCTGCTCACTCTGAGGCGCAAGTAATTCATCATTTATGAAAATTATTATATTAAGTGGCTTCTCCTACTTTTCTTAGTGATATTTAGTGCCAGTTTAGCAGGAAGTGATGATTTTGTTCTGTTTGACTCGTTGGATGGAAACTGTGCTTTATTCGCAAATGTTTTATGCGCATAGGTTAAATTTGAATCTTTGGATGGAAACGTAGCTGTTGTTGTGCGTTCAGAGATGTTCTACGATGGTTGTAACAAGTGTTTGAGTTGTTGCATTTGTATCAGCTGGAAGCAGTCTGGCCATTATCCTCTGACCTCTGGCATCAACAAGGCTATTACGACTGCCGTTCACTGGATGTTTTCTCTTTTTCCAACCATTTTCTGTAAACCCTAGGGATGTTTTGCGTGTAAATCCCAGTATCTCAGAAGTTTTTCCATTCTGATGCTTGGTTTGAACCAAATCTACATACCTAAATGCAATGAGTTGCTGCCATGTGATTGGCTAATCAGATATTTGGCGTTAATGAGCTGTTGAATGGGTTTACCTGATAAAGTAGCCATTGAGTGTATATCTCCGTCTCCGCTAGGGTGTCAGATTTCAACAATGTCTCAAACTGTGCTCAGATTTTCCAAGATACCTGTAATCAAAAAGCCAGAGATCTACTCTCCACATTTATTTTACACCCCTGTACTCTTGTAATGCATGTTTACACTCGTCTCATTTGTGTCTTTTTATTTCTCCAAAGCATTTCTGATGTTTGAAGTTAATACTTAAACACGGCGTACTTGATAACTCCATTAAGTCTCCTCTGAGGAGTGAAATGCTCCTCTGGGTGATTGTAGTTCATTCGACAGCATGTTTGCAGTGTTTACACGTGTGTGTTGCTAATTGGAGGGAATTGGACTGTGTGTGACTTAAATGCATCATCATTTCTGCTAACGCTCTACCTCGACTGGAGCGAGCCGAACAGGGTAATTGAGTAGAACAGAACAAACTCTGCGCTGGAGGAGAGGGAGAGAGCCGAATTAAGGGAAGAAGGAATATTGACGATGTGTCAGGGAAGAAATTAAAGGTGTCTAACTAGGTTTGAACCCAAGCTGGTGTTCAGATTGAGGAGAAGAGGTTCTTTATGGTGTGAAACACGCGGAGAGAGATGCATCTGGCAGCAGGTTGTGAAGTTGACTGATGCATTACTGAACACAAAAGCTTTAGGTCTCTTCAATTTCACCTCATGCGCAGTGGAAATAGGGAATTTCTCCCGGCTTTCACAAGCTTCCTGAGCTTGTGTGTGGGAATAGTGACCATAGTTGTTGGTCTTCATACTGCAATCCCAGCACAACCCTCTCTCTCTTTTTCATCATATCTTCTTCTCCCTGGAGTGCAGACACATTTTAAGCGTGAAACTAGCAGTAACAGCAGGCTGCCGATTGGAACCTCTGCGTGAGCTTTGACATGGGATTTCCTCTCTGCATAACAACCAAGACACTCTTTTTGCAGCCACTTACACACTGTATTGATGTATGTGTGAGTGTCTGTTGTGAATGAGGGAATGAGTTATGATTGGAATGAGGAGTTATAGTATTATGATCAGAATAAGGGGAGAAATTTTGATAGAATGATTGGAATGAGGTGAGGAGTTATAGTAGCATGATTGGAATGGGGAGGAGATATAATATTGATATTGACTGAAGAAGAAGAGAAATGATGGCATAATTAGAATGGGGAGGAGTTATAATATGATTTGAATTAGGGGAGGGGTTTTAAAGTATAATTGGAATGAGGGGGAGGAGCTATAGTTTTAAGATTGGAATGGAGAGGAGTTATAGTATTTTGATTGATCCAAGAGGAGTTATGATGGCATAATTAAAATGGTGGCAGAGTTATAGTATGATTGGAATACGGGGAGGAGTTATGATAGAATGATTAAATGGAGGAGGAGTTATGATATTATGATTGATTGAAAGGGAGAAGTTTTAATAGTATGTTTGGAATGAGGGGAGGAGTTATGATAGTATGAATGGAATGAGGGGAGGAGTTATAGTATGATTGGAATTAGGGGAGGAGTTTTGAAAGTATAATTGGAATGAGGGGGAGGGGTTATGATAATATGATTAGAATTGGCAGGAGTTATGATAACATGATATGACTGAGGGGAGGAGTTATGATAGTATGATCGGAATGCAGGGAGGAGTTATGAGAGTGATTAAATGGAGGAGGAGTTATAATGTGAATGGAAATGGGAGGAGTTATGATAGTATGATTAAATTGAGGAGGAGTTATATTATGAATGGAAATGGGAGGAGTTATGATAGTATGATTGAATGGGAGGAGGAGTTTTGATAGTACGATTAGAATGAGGGGGAGTTGTAATATTAGGAGTTGTAGTATTAGAATAAGGGGAGGAGTTTTGATAGTATTAATGGAATGAGGGGAGGAGTTATAGTATTATGATTAGAATGGAGAGGAGTTATAATATTGTGACTGATTCAAGAGAATGAGTTATGATGGCATAATTGGAATGGGGGAGGAGTTATGATAGTATGATTGGAGAGAAGGGAGGAATTATGAAATAATGAAATAAAGCATAACTGGTGCATGTTGCATTGCAAATGCATGTTAAACTCACAACCCATGCAGAGATTGAGCTTGCTGCATTCTCTGTGACACAACCGAAAAGCATAATGAGCTGCTCACATGAACACAGTGCTGTGCTTCACTTCGAAACTTCGCAGTATGACAGAGTAAATGTTCTTAAATCACTAATGACTTTAAACCTTTTGCATTTTGATAAGTGCACTGCACCATATCACTATTTAAATTTTAGTTTGATTGACAGATGCTTCACCAAGGCAACAGCACAAAACACAATGTTAGAGACTTTTTATATTGTTTAGACAAGTGTAAAATATTTTTTGTTCATTATGGAACTGTAGTGGGACAGATTACGCAATGGCCGGCTGCCACATTAATGGGAAACACTGAAAGCAGTTATTATGAAAATGATGGCAGGAGTTATGGAAATTATTCACGTGACCGCTACCGCGGTAAACTAAGCTTTTTTATAACCGTCTAACAAAATACTACATTAATTCAGCATTAATTCAGCTACACTTTTCTTATTTTCTCCACAACAAATGGCCAAGCAAGCGCAAACACTGACAAGATACGCGATACAGAACGAGACCAAACGCGATATCAGCACGTCTCCACACAGTAAACAAAACAAGCGTTTCCTAGCAACGACAACTGCACTACACACTAATGAGACAAGTAAATACACTTACAAGCTGCTTTTAACTTCCGCTGATAAAGACTGCTTCTCTCAAAGAGTATTTCTTTACACTGTTTTCTGCTGGCGCTTGAACACACTTTCCTTATTTTCTCCACAACAAATGGCCAAGCAAGCGCAAACACTGACAAGATACGCGATACAGAACGAGACCAAACGCGATATCAGCACGTCTCCACACAGTAAATAAGAAATTAAGGAAGCTGATATAAAACAAAGCATGAAGGACTTGCTATAGAATAGAATAGAATAGAGTAGAATAGACTAGAAACAAAATGTCAAAATCTGAAGAATCCTCAATAGTGAAAGCTAAGAGAACTGGAGAGCATCTTTTTATTTTCCAGCAAGGCTTCTATTTCTCATGGCGCCATCCTTACTGAGGCCAGTGGAATTACACCGGGATATGGTTCACAGTCAGTTGTGATTGACACTGGACAGCTCATCTGAGGGCCTATGGGAAAAAAACTCAATTTGGAGGCAGAAAGGGAACAGAGACCCAGGAGCAAAACTTCTGAGACGTAGGAATGAAAGGAAGGCGCACTGCAAATCTGCTCGGAAAATAGCTTCTCCGATGGGTTACTCTGCTTCACGTGGCTGCTGAGATGTTGCTTTGTCAATTTAAATAGGGAGCAGACAATGTCAAATAAATAAGCAGACACATGCCTTGAACTCTCATCACCTCTTTCTCGCTTTCGTTTCCTCTGTCCGTATATAAATGCACATACAAAACACATACAGTGCAAACTGAAAGTTTTGCTTTCTTTTTTCTTTTCTTTTTTTTTGGACAATGGATCATTAAAATGGATCATATTTACAGCCAGTCACACAACATTACTTTTATTTTGCTTAATAAAATTACAATGAATAGCATTTAAATTGTATGCATATATTTTTATATAGGATTGGTCTGAATATATGTCTAATTTCTGAGATTTTTAATTACATTTCTGTACATGAGAAATCATATATACCCTGCACTTTACATGTATATCTTAAGAAAGCCTTTCTAAATTTCTGTCTCTCATTTCTTTTTACAGTTCAGATGATTATTATGAATACAGCCATGGTATCAGCGGAGAATCATATGACTCTTACGGTAAGAGTTGTTTTTTTTTTTGTTTCATAATACTTCCAGTTAGTGCATGAACTTTGAGTCTGTCTTTTGCCCAAAGAACGCAGAGCTCCTGCTGTACAGCTCTTGTCATAAATACTGCTGGCATTGCAAGGCTTTTGGTTGCAGTGTATTGTATTTACATCAACAGGCATTTACAATGAATGTTGAAGGGAGACAGGTTCGGATGCAGCAAAAGAATCAAAATGCTGTCGGACACGCGCTCTGTGAAAGGCAAACAAGTTTGCGGTTACGGACACTGTAGGTACAGAATAGCATAAATATGGCAGAGATATCTGAAGAAGAATTGCAATTCTCTGAAACTGCTGATGTAGCTTTTGTAAGCTCATTGTCCAAGCAAAAAAGATAAGACGTGCCATTGTATTTCTCAGCAGCTAGAATATTAATGTGTGTGTGCTTTTAGTGTGTATGTACAGATGCATTTGTGGGCAGTTTCTCAGATTGATGCATTCGTGTGCATGTTTACAATTGTATTATTTATAAGAGATATTTGTAACAGAATCAAAACCTAGTTTTGTTCAGCATATAGTTTTAAAACTTTCATTTTATAGGTTTCTTCAGGTCAGTTTTATGTCCTAGAAATTTTTGTTATATGAAGGCTATGTTAAAACTTTGGAAAGTTTTACCATGTCTTCATTTTTTTTCTGCTTCCCAAATGCCTATCTATGTATAGACTTTATTTATGTATAGACTTTACGATTTTTATTTTATGTTTTATTCTTGATCCAGACCCAGATGTTACTTTTAAAATATGTACATTCCTCATTAAAATACAAATTATCATAAAGACATTATAAATATGAATTGTTATTTTAATACTAGGTACTATGTATTATTTCTACATTTTAATTATATATTTTATTATATAATTATAAATATAGTATTACATATTATTATTTTAATACTAATTATTATTCATTAATTATGTATTATACAGGTGCATCTCAATAATTTAATACACGAGTTTCACAATTTGAGTTGAATTACTGAAATAAATGAACTTTTCCACGACATTCTAATTTATTGAGATGCACCTGTATATACAGTGGTGACCAAAATTGTTATAACACTTGTCATATTTAAGAGGTTTCAGTTGTTTTTGTTGAAAATATAAAAATATAAAAGTTAAAAGTGGATAAAATCAGTACGACTTCATCTGATATTTGATGTGCTCAGAGCAACCATCTGCATGTTTCATGAACATTATGAAATTAAATCATGTTTTGGAGGCAAAAAAGGTCAATATTTTCAGATCTGTCAGGGGTTCTAACAATTTCATTATAAATAAAATATTAATTATTATATTTTACAAACTATGATTTAAAAAATAGTAAAAGGGTAAAAAAATAAAAATCATCAGTGGTGACATTTCCACCTTAACAAAGAAATGTTCCCGTAATAAATATAGACATGTGATGTAAGTCTTTGTTTATTTATCTTACACCAGGTTCAACAGTAAACCTTTCTAAGGTTAAGAACTAGCAATAGCGGTGCTTGTGTTATCAAACTCAGTAAATAAATATAATAAAGCACAAGGAAATGAGATGTAACAATGTTAGATGGCTTGTTTGGACATGACAGAACTTTAAATTAGACTACAGAACTGATTTGACAAAAATGGAAATGGCTGTGTAATTGCATCTTAAAAGTGACTTTACATTTTCTCGTTGTCTTTCACATTTCCTCTATGTCGCTTTCCAGTCGTTTGTCACTTTGCGACCACATTTGAAACACACAGCTCTACACTGACACACACATAAGCAATCCATAACACTCAACTTAACACGTTTCCAGGTGGTACAACGCATAGACAGCTTGACAGTTCAAAGGAGATCTCCCTATTATCTGGCTGATGCACATCCTTGTTCTTTCTAAACGCAAGGACAGTGCGCATGAACCCTTTTCTTGAAGCCAGCGCAGGCTAACCTGAGATTGACAGCTCTCTAATTAAAGATTATTGGCTACGGCTCCCAGTCTGAAAAAAACGAGTGACTTTAGAGCAACGGCCTTTGTGCCTTCCTGTCCCTAAGAAGAGCTGAAAAAGAGCAAGATCACACAAAAGCTAGCATCGATAGCGCTCTCGTTCATCGACACGGACGCTCGTGAATGAGCTCTGCTGTTACGCTAATGGCGGCGGTAACCTCTCGCTCGAGGGCACTCCACTAAACCCCTTTCAAGTGGCTATTTGATCCTCTGCTGCAATTAAAGTTGTTTTGTTCTTTCTGAGGTGAAGGACAAAGGCAGGATAGTTTGGGGACGTTTCTCTCTGATTGTCAGTGTTATTTGGGCTAAATTATCAGCGGTGCCATGAGCTCGGAGAGGAAGATAGTGGATGGTGTCGTGACTCTTGGGCTTTGTTATTTTAAAGATTGATGTTGTTGTGTAAAAATCACATTTGAAGGGGCTTTGGATTGCTGCATGTTCGACAGCAAATCACTGTCAGAGTCCTCTTGGGAGGAAGAGCAAAGAACCTTTTTAACACACACTCACAAAGAAATTACACTCTACTGGCGGACAAGTGAATCTCACAGAAACACACTCAACGTTGCATTACAGCAAATAAATCAATCAATCAATAAATGCTAATTATTTCAGTATTTTCATACTTTCATATATATATATATATATATATATATGAATTTTTCAAAAATGATGACTTGAATTTTAAAAATTATAAGGGGCTACTGAAGAAGTAAAGTCATCATCAAAAGATTGATTATTACATTTTGGAAACAAGAGTAAAAACTTACTAAAAATTACTTTTTCAAAGTTAGTTAAGACAACAATGTAATAACACAAAATGTAAGTCAATAATGTAAGTCTACTTAATGCGAAAATCTCAATAATCCTGAAAACAAGCTTTATTTTTTTTATTAAATTATTCGATTTTTGCATTGTGAAATTATTATATTTTATTAATATATTTCCATTCCATTGCAGTATGTCCAGATTTAATTCAGATATGAGGTTTTTTTTTCTATTATTGTCTGATAGCGGATTTTCACTTTTTTTTTATTGTAATACATGGTTTTTTAAATAATGTCAGCATACAAGTAAATTAAAGGCAAGTATTGCAGTGTTTTAATAATTTACAATTTAAATTGCATGTATTTTTTTACACTGCGAATGCATCACAATGCAAAACAGTCTAATTTGTTTTAAAATATGCTTATTTTTTTCATGATTCAGAATATTTTTTATTTCTTTTTGGGGTGAAATATGATCTGGGCATATTCTTGACAGGTTTTCGGCACGCCATCAAAACATGACAATTGTAATATTTTCACCTCATTTCAAAATCTTGGTTATTCTGTTCAGCTTTTTTTTAATGTCAAGTTTCATTAAAATTACTGTAAATTGTCAATTTATCACATGGTATCGACCATGCAATATACACAACCATCACATACCTATTTCATTGACTAAAATATATTAGAGTATGCATTCAAACACGTCACTGTTAGCCTATGAAACATGCATTTGCGTGAAGGTCTCACAAATGTTGTTCAGCGTTTAATGAGCGTGTTTCACTACAGACTGCACTAATTAAAGCATTCTAACAAGGCCTGAATGACTAATGAGCTTTCTGACCTTTGCTCTTTGTCTCCCTCTTCAGGCCCGGAGGAATGGACAAACAACCGCAACAAGGCGCCACCAGCAAGGACAAGCAAAGGAGTGTACAGAGAGCAGCCGTATTCCCGGTTCTGACCTGCTACAGTCCTTCATGTGCCCTCCCAAGTAATGGATTTTCTATGGACTCTATTTCCTTTTTTGCAAATAAAATCAACCAAAACGACAAAAATAGCTGATGGGTAAAATTACGTTTCTGTGGAACTGATTCTGGACGACCCCCACAAACGGAACATTACGGATCACTGGATTATGTAGTTTGAATCAGAGAACCAATCAGAATTCAAATAGACCTACTTATGTCGGAGGGAGGCGGGCACTAGCGGTTAGGGGCGGAGTTATATGAGGAGTACGATGTTTAGATTTAGCAGGTCCATTTTTGTAGATACTTTTTTTTTGATGGGTGATCAGCTTCAATGTGTCCCTTGTAAATTTTACCTTTAACTAGAGAAAAAAAAAAAAGTAAAAGAAAATCTCAGTGCAAATGTTGTTTTCCTTCCTTTCTCTTTTCTAAATGGAAAGTTCTTCAGCGTTAAAGGGCTTATAGGAGCATGTCGTGAAAAAAAAATGATTATGTGCAGTTTCAGTTGCGATGAGAAAAGCCTGCGTAGTTTTGTCTGGTTTTTGTGTTGAGCGTTTAAACCCTTTAATGAGCTCTGTGGTAATAGGTGTTTTCCTTCCTTTCTCTTTTCTAAATGGAAAGTTCTTCAGCGTTAAAGGGCTTATAGGAGCATGTCGTGAAAAAAAAATGATTATGTGCAGTTTCAGTTGCGATGAGAAAAGCCTGCGTAGTTTTGTCTGGTTTTTGTGTTGAGCGTTTAAACCCTTTAATGAGCTCTGTGGTAATAGGTGTTTTCTTCTAGTGAGCGATCTACTTTTAGACCTTCTGAAGAGCGTCTGAATTGACCGTTTTGGGCAGTTAATCCAAATGACTAAAATTCCCAATTCAATTTCATAATTTCAGTTGAGATATGAGAGTTACCCCTGCACACTTTACTGTGCAATTCTAATGCATTATAGCCCATATAAGCCTTTATACGGCACTAATGTTGGCTTTCCATTAGTATGTTATATAGCGCGGATGGGTTAAAAATAGCGACAGAGCATTTAAAAAACAATAAAAGACTAAACCGAAGCATTGCTTGTGCAAGACAGTGGTTTTGGGCACATTGTGTATCCTTGAAAACTTGTTGTAATGCATTTTAAGTGCACAGCAAAGTGCAATGGTCATTTCTAAACCAAATACTGTTGACTAAAGATGAACTAGTTAAAACTATAAAAAGCCTAATCAAATGTATGCTGAAGTTTAAAAAGTGATAGTAATGAAAATTATTGTGGTACTGGTGGTGGCAGTTTAATACATTTCTGTTAAGAGCTATAATCTTTGTAAGCTTGTGTAAGCCCTTTAATTCTCGTCTCAGTTGATTATAAAATAAACTTTTTGAAAGAAAAAAATATCGTTGTGTTTGAGAGCACATTTTGTCCTTGTTTACTTTGGTAAAACTTCATAATCTAAACTAACATCTGCTGTGTATTATCATCAAAAGTGTAGCGTACAGTATCTTATGATGAGGAAAATAAAATGGAAAACAATAAATCCTTTAAGCTCACAAAAAAGTGAAAATAAACCAAAAAGTATATTTGTCCCCTCTGAATTTCTAGTATTTCTTTCAAAAATTTATCTGATGCATGTAACTATTTTGACAGTAGAATTCAATTGAATTGCAGCCGGCACAATTACATTTATTTGTAATATACCGTACCCAGCAGCTTGAAATAAATGTGCAATTATAAACTTACCTTATTATCTGTTCTAATTCTTTCTACTTGAAAACAAATGAGACTCTTCTGTGGTAAAGCATATCGTAGAAGTTAATTATCCACTAATATATCTTTAATCACACTCTTTTATTAATGGCAACTTTGCTAGACTCTATAGATACAGTACTGTTGCACATGGAAAGTAATTCCACATATTGTCATATTTGATATTTTAAGATTGAATAATGTAAGCGGTGGCTTTTTGACCTTGATTCTTTTTTGGGGGGATTTCTGCTTGCTGTTTTTTGCTCTTTCTTCCTCCTTCTGGTCACATGACCGTCTCTATAGTCCACTAAACAGCCCGCCCCCACATGACCTCTAAATGACCCCAGCTGACCTCAGAGCTGATGAGGATGGCGGTAGCTGTATTTACAGGCCTTCGTTCTACAAGGTAAACAACCCGTCACAGTCTAATCTCATCTAAACTAGCCCTTAAACTGGATAAAACCAAAACAAACCTGTTCATTTAAAGCTGTTCTTGGCTTACCTTTTGCTGAGGAACTTAAATTAGAAGTAAAATTGTAAAAAGATTAATAAATAGCTGTAATATTGCTTTAACAAATCATTATTATCACCAATTATTTTTAAGGAGGAGATAAAATGATAGATATTTTTTATGTGCTATAGCTTTAAATAAATGAATGTTTAATACTGACTTACTATAAGCTTTGTAAACCATTGCAGATTTGTGGTAAACTTGTGTTTGTTTGTGTCTTTTTGGTTTTGGTTTTGTTTTGTTTTAATCTACACTTTCAGTTTTAATGTTTCTCTTTTCTTTTCAGATTACAATAGCTGGGCCTGAAGCCATGAAAGCCACTGATGTCATAAAAAGTGAAAAGAACTGCAATTAAAATAAACGATTAGCATTAAAACGCTTAAAAATCAGTTACCATGTCATTTTTTGAAACAGCGTCGGTTTTTGAAACAGATCTATGTAAACACCCTTACAACAAATAATGCTACTCTTTAGCAGGAATATCTAGTGTAGTCTGCTGTTCAGGGAACACAAACACTCACTCCTTCCCTGGACATGCTAGGTGTTCTCTAGTATTGTTGTAATATTATGAGACATTTGAACACAAATGAGGGGTTTAATGTGTAAACTAACTGAAGTCGCCTGACAGTGATGAGGAAAGCAAGAGTTCTATTAAGTGCGTCTGCTGTTAAATCCCTGCCTCGAGAGAGCAGACATGCTTTCCTCCAGCGACTGTCAAACAACAGCTTCCACGGCATGAGAGGATAAAGACATGAGAGAGAGAGACGGTTCGAGATCTCATAGAGTAATCCTATCAGAACGGCTGCTCTCTGTGGCTGATTATTGCGCTGAGTGCCACCCTCTGCCACAACACTCTGCCATATACCTTCATACGTATTTTCAACATACGATGATTTGGGCTACACTATTTCATGCATTAGTCTATGCAAATGTGGATGCATCTGAAAATGATCAGTGGATGCATCTAAACAGAATGAACAGATCAGCTGCAGGTCTTCTATTTATTCCGTTTGTCTAGAAGTAAGGTACTTAGGAGCATCTGGGTTTCAGCAAAGAACTTTTTTATCAATATTTGTGTTGTTGTTTTTCAAGGTTTTCTTAAACTTTCTTTGAATCGAGAACTGTTTTGTTTGCATCGCCACCAATATAACATGCTAGAGAAATGATGAAACGACGGCCAGAGAAACGGCTGCATAAATTGGTTTTTCCAGATTACATCCTGGTCCTACGTACACAAGAAATGAGCAAACAAAAAATCACACAGGAAAATACCTAGGCTCTTTTTGATAGCGTACTCAGATGCTTAAAACCCAAGACATTTTCTCCAGCAAGAAATTGATTTTTAGCATCATAAACCTTTCAAGACAGGCCTACTGTGAACTACTGTGATGGTATGTGCTCCTCTACAAGCCAGATCTCAGTCTGTTTCAGCTACATCTGATTTGCAATTAACTTCAAATGTTTTAAACTGGTTAGTGTTCATGTTTATTATTATTATTTATTAAATATTTTTTAATTAAAATATATATGTTTTTGTTGTTGTTGTTGGCTGTTTCAGCTACCTTTGAATTTATTGATTTATTTATTTACAATAAAATTAACTTGAATAAAATGTTTTAAACTTGTGTTGCTATTTAATTTTATTTATTTTAATTGTTAATATTTTTAAATACTTTTTAATATTTTTAAGTAATTCACGTTTTTTATTTTTAATATTTTTAAATACTTTTTCATATTTTTAAGTAGTTTATAATATTTTAATTAAATACGTTTCTTTTGGCTTTCAGCTTCATTTTTTGTTTGAAAAATGTATTTATATCTATTTTGATATTAACCTAAATTGTTTTAAACAGGTTTAATGTTTATATTTTATTTTATTTATTTAAAATGTTAATATTTAAAAAAATATATATTTTACTTCTAGCCTTTTTTAGCTGTTTTGGCTACATTTTGATTAAAACAGATTTTTAGCTAGTTAGTTAAATAATAATAATTTTATATGTTTTACATTTTAGCATTAACTTAAATGATTTTAGCAAATGGCTGCAATATAACAAAGAGTGAAAAATTTAAGGGGATCTGAATACTTTCCGTACCCACTGTATATATATATATTTTAGCTAGATTAAAATCTTAGCTAGATTAAAAATAATTTCAATAAAACAATTTTTGTTAATTCTTTAATTTTATTAATTGTTTGTGTGTGTGTGTGTGTGTGTGTGTGTGTTTATAAATTAAAAGTTTAGAAGACTGTACACTTGATGCAAAACTCTCTCTCTCTCTCTCTCTCTCTCTCTCTCTCTCTCTATATATATATATATAGGTATAGAGTTTTGCATCATCAAGTATACAGTCTTCTAAACTTTTAATTTCAAATTTTCAAATACCTTTTTTTAGCTAATAAAATATTTAACACTGAGATCTTTTTTTTACTGATGATTTTTTTAATGCTTACAGAGAAAACTAATGTAAAATATACTTATGGAATCTAGGCCTCTGAAAAAGTGATTGAAGTCTATAATATTGTGGACCCCTGGCTACATGAGACGGACCCCTCAGTTGACCACAGACCCCATTTTAGGATGTTATATTATAGGCTCTTCAGATCAGCGTATTGGTTTCTACAGTCTTGAGGGTGCACTCATTGACAAAGGCCGCCTAGCAACAATTGCCATTTGATTTGGTTTATATGATCCAGCTTTGATGGTTTTCATATTTTTCTCTCTGTTTTAGGGATATTGGGCGGCATCATCTGATCTTGAAGACTAAAACTGCGCGGAGGCTGCCGTAGAGAACTTGTGCTCAGCCAGAAAATCACAATGAGCAGACTTAAAAA